TAATGGCCACAGGATTAGCTGTCCACTTACTATATGCCATCGTCGTAATTTCCTTTCTTGAGGTTTCCTCTCATATTTTCTCTGTAATTTTAAGTTAGTCTGATAAAGAGAATAATAGCACAGCTGATTTCAAAGTATTTGTTATATTGAAAAGTGACCCAGAGATAATTATAAAATTAAAAGGAAAATATGGGGAAAAATAGATGGAACTAATGGTGCTAGTAGGTAGGTGGGTGGATAAAAGAAAAGGGTAGATTACTGTCATGAATGAGAAAGATAAGAATGTCAAAATGGCCGAAACTGGTTTGGCTCAGTGGTAGAGCATCGGTCTGCGGACTGAAAGGTCCTGGGTTCGATTCTGGTCAAGGGCATGTACATTGGTTGCGGGCACATCCCCTGGTCGATGTTTCTCTCTCATCGACGTTTCTAGCTCTCTATCTCTCTCCCTTCCTCTCTGTAAAAAATCAATAAAATATATTTAAAAAAAAAGAATGTCAAAATGGCCCATTTATTTATTTATTTATTTATTACTTATTTTTAGTTATTGGCATGGTCACAGAATTGGTTACATTTAACAAATGCATATTGCAAATAAAAATATGTAAAAGCATATTGCAAATAAAAATATGACTAAGACATGGCCTCCTGCCATGAAATGAATCATAGCCTAGTAAAAAATGCTGCAACAGAGCTACAAGTAATGTACATTGTGTGTAAAAAAGACGGAAAGACTTTATTAGAAGAATGAGTAGGTGGTCAGTGAAAGAACCACAGGGCGCTAAGTGTTAAATGTTTTAAGCCATTTGTATTAGAGTTCTCCAGAGAAATGTTTTAAAGCCATCTTAAGCATCTGACATTATATATATATATATATATATATATATATATATATATATATATATATATTATTGATTTTAGAGAGGAAGAGAGATGGAATCAATGGTGAAAGAGATGGAATCAATGGTGAAAGAGAACCATTGATTGCCTGCCTCCTGCATGCTCCCCTTGGGGATCAAGCTTGCAACCCGGGCATGTGCCCTTGACCAGAATCGAACCTGGGATCCTTCAATCCATAGGCTGATGCTCTATCCACTGAGCCAAACCAGTTAGGGCTTGAATATATATATATATATATATATATATATATATATATATATATATATATATATATACTGTATATATATTTTAAATAAATTTTGTTGATTTTTTACAGAGAGGAAGAGAGAGGGATAGAAAGTTAGAAACATCGATGAGAGAAACATCCATCAGCTGCTTCTTGCTCACCCCCTACTGGGGATGTGCCCACAACCATGGTACAAGCCCTTCACCGGAATTGAACCTTCAGCCTGCAGGCTGACGTTCTATCCTCTGAGCCAAACCAGTTTCGGCTGGCTTGAATATATTTTTAATAAATTGTTAATATTAGGCCAGATCTTGAAAGCCATAAGTTAAAAGTGAATTAAAACAAAATAAAATATCTGAGGCAAATTTGGGTAAGCAGGCACATTATTCTTTTACTGCAAAACAAGCAAACAAACAAATAAATCATATATGTATACATGCAAATATTTATATTGATTTGAAGAAAGCTTCTAATTTCACTGTACTTAATCTATTGCACAATCTATATATCACTAGATTTCATTATCATTCAAACCTCACTGATCTTTTTTCAGATTCCTGTAGTTCTTACTATTTGCACAGTTAATTTGTCCCCTTGACATCAGCATCAAGGTAAACTACCAGTCAGTCAGAGCATCTGCCCCCTGGTGGTCAGTGTACGTCATAGTGACTGGTCAAGCAGTCAACCAAATAGTCGACTTATATAGGTCAGACACTTAGCATACTAGGCTTTTATATTATTTATTAATTATTGTATTATTTTCCATTTGAATAACTCTAAACCTACTTTGCCCTACCCTGCGTGAACTTTTTGAGGTCAGCAACTAAGTAGACTCTTTTTTTTTTTTTTTTTTGTCTACCTGGTGCCTGACACAGTGTAAAATCACATAAGGCAAGTATTTTAAAATTTGGGATTAGCAATTGTTAAATTAAATAAGGAGGCATTAGACTGAGGTGACTAATGCCATTGGCCCATGCACACAAACCAAAATAAGAGCCTGTAAATGCCTCAAGTGTACATAATTAAAACCTAAGAACCACCAATCACAAATAGCCAACTAGGCATTAAGCCATCATCAGTAATTTCCTAACTTTGCTTCTGCCTTTTTTCTATAAAAGCTTTTTTCTGAGCTCCTGTCAGTGGTGCTGATTTGGCGCTAATTGGAATAGATTTTTGCTCAAGTAAATGCTTAAAGTTTTAAAATACTCCTTAATTTACCTTTTAAAACCATTTCACTACGTTGGTTCCTTCTCTACATCTTTTTCAGCTTTTCTATAATCTGTAAAAAAGAAAAACTGCTTAAATAGAAGGCTTAGACTCCAAAACTGCTTAAATAGAAGGCTTTCTTGACATTTGTTTCTTTTTGGCCATATCCCAGCAGAGTTTTATCATCCCTTTGAATTACCTTAGCATCATATTTGTAATTTTGTTTGTTCCTGTCTTCCATTAAATTTGTGTTCCTCGAGAGTAAGAATAATTACATTATTTGCCCTTTTGTCTTCAGTGCTTTGCACTATGCTAACTAGTCTAGTAGTAAGTAGTCAACAGATGTTTTTAATTGAATAAGTTATTTTAATGAAATAGAATTTTCAAGTATAATTTCTTTTAGGTAAATTTCATCTGATTTCTAAGTTAGGAAGAGTGGAAAAAAGTGTAGAAGCTCACTGTGGAGCAGTACTGGCAGGAAGATGGAATTATGAAGGAACAGCTTTGGTTACAGGTAAGTTGTCTGCAAAAATGGCATTTTAAGTGAATTTTTAAAAGAAAAATTTCCAAAGGAACAGAATATTTTCTTAGCAATAGTATTTTATTATGTAATAGTAAATAATTAGCACAGTATTGATCTAGATTGCTATATAATGTTATAATTCAGAATGTCACATTAAGTACTAGTTTTATAATATGACTAATGGAGAATATTCTGTCAAAATTGCTGTTGGAATGTTCACGTAGAGAGTAAATAAAAGTTGTAATTCTTTAAAAATTTTAAATTCAAAATATTCTCTTTTAACTGACCTTTATCCTCTTCCATCTCTCTCCCATCTCCTGTCTTATTGCAAGGATTCTCCTCTTCACCTATTATCTTTTATTTCATAACAAATTACTCCAAAGCTAGTGACTTAAGATAATAACCATGTATTGTCTGTGGGACAGGGAACAGTTTCATTGGGCGATTCTGTCCCGGAATCAAGAAGTTGGATGGGGCTGCAATCATATGAAAGCTTGATTGGGGCTGAAGGATCAGCTTCTAAGATTGTTTACTCACGTGGCTGTTGGCAAGAGCTCTTAGTTCCTCTCTGACTCATGGCAGAGGCCTTAGTTCCTCACCACCTGGGCTCCTCCATAGGGCTAGTTGGTATTCTATCAACATAACAGCTGGCTTCTCTCCAAGTGAGTGATCCATGACAGAACAAGATAGAAGCCACAATATGTAAGATGTCCCCAAAAATGTATACACACACTTTGAATTATTAGAAGGGCATTGTTTATTAAAATACATTTCACTTTCAAAATTGAGCTATCAGTTGTTAAAGCGTGTATACATTTTGGGGGACACCCTGTATTTTATGATCCTCCTCAGAAGTTATACCCATCATTTCCACCGCATTCGACTAGGAGCAAGTCACTAACTACAGTCCACCCTGAAGGGGAGAGCTGAATTAAGCTCCACCTCTTAAAGGAGGAATAACAAGGAATTTGTGTATATGTTTTAAAGTCACCACACATATCCCCTGGGCCTTCTGTAGGACTTCTCTCAGTGAGTTTCTCCTTTTCCAGTGGTTTCTTTTTTAGCGCATAAGAAGGCTAAGATGTCATCCATCTTGAAAATTGAGAAAAAAGAAGTACAAATCCTTCTGTTAACCAATAAATCTCTCTAGATACATCTTTCTCTATTTCTTTCTTTCTTTTTTTTAAAAAAAATATATTTTATTGATTTTTTACAGAGAGGAAGGGAGAGAGATAAAGAGCCAGAAACGTCGATGAGAGAGAAACATCGACCAGCTGCCTCCTGCACACCCCCCACTGGGGGTGTGCCCGCAACCAATGTACATACCCTTGACCGGAATCGAACCTGGGACCTTTCAGTCCACAAACCGACGCTCTACCTCTGAGTCAAACTGGTTTCGGCCTCTTTCTTTTTCACTCTTGCAGGCAAACTGTTAAAAAAATAGAGCCTACTACTTTACCCATTCAGTCCCCGACTCATTGGAATCAGGCTGTAACTTTTCTTATTAGGCTGAAAGCACTTACTTAGAATTTTAGAATTGAGATTTCAGTGAAAATGAAAGCATTATTAGAACAATATACTCATAAGTCTTGTAATATTAAAGGAAAAAAATAAATTTTTTTTGTTATAGAAGTTAGTCAACTTTAATCAAGTTGTTTCATAATAACTTCAATTAAATAATATAGTTATGAAGTACTATCATTTAATTAGAGTAAATTTTGTCCAAATTTTATGTGTAAATGTAATGTTTAAGTTTATTTCTTTTAAAAATATATTTTTATTAATATCAAAGAAGGAAGAGAGAGATAGAAACATCAATGAGTCTACAGCCATACCACCCTGAATGCTCATGATCCTGTCTGATCTCAGAAGCTAAGCAGAGTAGGGCCTGGTTAGTACTTGAATGGGAAACATCAATGATGAGAGAAAATCACTGATTGGCTGCCTCCTGCATGCCCCCTACTGGGGATCGAGCCTGCAACCTGGACATGTGCCCTGACTGGGAATGGAACCTCAATCTCCTGGTCAATGCTCTACCACTGAGCCACGCTGGCTGGGCTAAATTTATTTCTTATAGCTAAAAATATAAATTATTTTCTCTTTATAGTTGGAGAAGATGGACAAGTAAAAATCTGGTCAAAGACTGGAATGCTAAGATCAACTTTAGCTCAGCAAGGTATGTATTATAATCAATAAAAATGTCAACATTTTCTGTTAGCAACAGTAATATCATTTCTTAGACTGATTTTGTTCAGGTTCAATACCTGAAATTGCTCATTTCTATTAACTCTTTTTCCTCTTACTTTCCATGTTGCCTGATGGACCATGGTACCTATATTATTCAAACCAAGAAATATGCAAAATACTCCAAGAGCTTTTTCTTTGTCAGTGAATCTAGACGATATGTTATAGGCTAATGATTCTTTTTAAATAATTCTGAAGCATTATGAACATGTTCTATCTGAATAGGATTTGGCATCTAGTTAAGTAAACAATAGAAAACATTGAATATCTCCTGACTTAAAAAGTCCTAATAACCTCATAATATTAGCACTCTTTCTAAATTATGTTGTACATTTGATTTTCATACTAATGGAGGGGAACAGACACCCAGATAATCCAAAACTTGAAAAGTGACAGTTACTTAGAGCAAAATCTTAGTTTTCCATGTTAATTGGGAAGAAGTACCCATAAAGTCAGTCTATAAAGTGGTCATTCCTTTTGGGATTTAGATTACATATGATTTTTTTTTTTTCTGTGTAGCAGATTTATTTTCCTAATTACATTTACCTAGGAGCAATAAAGTAGTCTTGATGTTGACCTGAGAATTTATCCACTGATCTTCAGAAACAAGTCACCAAAAAGCTCCTTGCAGACTGTTCTTCAGATTTTATAATAAAGTCATATTATGAAGCATCTCCAGTAATTGACTTCCAAAAATTCCCAGATTTCATTTTTTAAGTGGTTTATTCTTAGGATAGTGTTAAAATAGTTACATTTCTTCTCTTTTTCCTTCTCCTCCTCCTCCTCCTCCTCCTCCCCCACCCCTCCTCCTCCTCCTCCTCTCCTCTTCCTCTTCCTCCTCCTCCTCCTCCTCTCCTCTTCCTCTTCCTCCTCCTCCTCCTCCTCCTCCTCCTCCTCCTCCTCCTCCTCCTTCTCTTCCTCCTCCTCCTCCTTCTTCTTCTTTTTTTTTTTTTGGTTACATTTCTTTAGCTACACATTAACCAAGTGTTAGCAAAGGAACCAGAAATACTATTTAGTACTTATTTCCTGAGTTTAAATCTTTTCTACAGATAATCTCCAAGTAGAGTATTTATCCATGAGTAGAAAATTTAGAGTTTATAGAAGCTTTCATGGATGGATTTCAGTTAGAAAAAATAGTCAATTTATTGTTATGTTAGTAATAAAATGTACTTTTAGAAAATACATTTTATTTTAATCTTCTAGTGGGCCTGAGGATTTACTTTTGGCTTTATAACTTGTTAGGGCTAATTGTTTGGCATTCTCACTCTATGATGTCTGGTTTATGAGCAACTGACAGAAATATTCTAGAGGTCACTGCACCCTTGGGGCTGGGGCTGCAGTTCTTTTTAGATTGGCTGCTACTGAGACATATTTTTTCCTTTCTTTTCTCTTTTATTAAATTTGTTGTCTTCAAAAGACACAGATCTTCAGAGGAATTCTGAAGATCTAACAACTGTATCTGAATTCTTGCCTAAGATAGTTCCTTCTGTTTTCTTTAATTCTTCCCAGATATCTCCTTCCCTTTTACTGCCCTTGGATCCACCATTATGAACTTTCCAAAGTCTAAAGTTAAAACTTAGAATATGTTGTTTAATATAAATATTGTTCATCATTGAGGGTAGGTGATAATACTATAGTTTACCTGTGTAATGGGTCTGGAAATTAAATTGCTACTTACTTTGCTCTTATTGAAAAATGCATTTAACGTTTCCAAATTTACAAGGGCAGTTGGAAGCACAACATGTTCATAAATTAAAGACTTTATAAATCAGAGGTCACAAACAGGTGGCCTTTGGACTGAATCTTTCCCACGAGCATGGTACAGACCCAATATTAAAAAAGTCACATTTCACATACAAACTTGGTTTTCTGGAGTCTTGAAAAATTGGAAGATCCCACAACATTAGGCCTGCTTTTCAGAATGAATACAATCAGCTGGAGTTCAGTAGTGGCTGATCCATTTTTATGTTTTTATTTATTTTAAATATATATTTTTTATTAATTTCAGAGAGGAAGGAAGAGGGAGAGATAGAAACATCTACACTAATAAAAGAGAAACATGCAAATTGACTGTACTTCCACTACAACCACCAGCCATGTCCACCAGCCAATCAGGAGAGAGTATGCAAATAACCCAACTAAGATGGAGGTGGCCATGGAGCTGGAGCGAGCAGGAGGCTTGGGTTGTCCCCAGCGATGGAGGAAGTCAAGCTTCCCACCTGCCGTGGCCTGCCCTGGCCTCTGCTCAAGGCTACAAAGTTTCAATATAGAAAATAAATAAATCCCAGATACCTGCTTCCAGCCGGCCCTGGCCTCTGTTCAAGGAGGCACTTGAAAAAGAAAAGAAAAGAAAAAAATGAGGGGCTGGGAGCCTAGATTGCAGGGGGGGGGGGGGGGGGATGACCAGCCTGCAAACAGCCATCATCCCTCACCCAGGCTGGCCAGGCACCTCAGCAGACCTCCACCTTGAAGGGGGTGTGGTCAGCCTGAAAACAGCCCTCAGCCCCTCCTCAGGCCGACCACATCCCCCCAGTGGGGACTCTCACCCCATGGGGGCGTGGCTGGCCTACAAACCACCACAGGCCCCTCGCCAAGCTGCCCCATGCCCCAAGGGAACCCCCACCCTGATCTGGGACACACTTCAGGGCAAACCAGCTGGCCCCCACCCATGCACTGGGCCTCTATCTATACTAATAAAATGCTAATTAGATTGGGAGACCTTCCAGGAGACTTTCTGGACATTCTTCTGGACAAAGCCATAGTGGCGGGGCTGAGGTAGAGGTAGTTAGAGACTAAAAGGGGATGGCAGTTGTGGGTGATCAGGTTGGTGGGGTGTGGGGTTGTTGGGTATAAGCAGACCAGCAGCGGGGCCAGTTGGGGCGAGCAGGCCATTAGTGGGGGTCAGTTGGAGGTGATCAGGACAGCTGGGGAGGCAGTTTGGAGTGAGCAGGCCAGCAGGGGAGCAGTTGGGGGCAAGCAGGCCAGCAGGCAGAATGAGTAGGGGCAACAGGCAGGTAGGCAGGCAGGTGAGCAGTTAGGAGCCAGCAGTCCTGGATTGTGAGAGGGATGTCCGACTGCCGGTTTAGGCCCAATCCCTGTAAACTGGCAGTAGAACATTCTTCAAGGGGTCCCAGTCGGAGAGGGTGCAGGCTGGGCTGAGGGACACCCCTCCCTCCTGTGCACGAATTTTGTGCACTGGGCCACTAGTCAATGATAAAAGAGAATCATTGATTGGCTGCCTGCTGCATGCCCCCTACTGGGGATTGAGCCTGCAACCTGGGGATGTGCCCTTGACTAGAAACCCAGGATCCTTCAGTCTGCAGGCGGACACTCTATCCACTGAGCAAAATTGTCTAGGGCAGTGGCTGCTCCATTTTTAGTTGGGTTTCAAACTTCCCTTATTTTTCTTGTACTGTTCTCCACTCATTTACGTTACATGGGAGAAAACATAAATCTGAAGATATTTGAGTTTGCAACCCCTGCTTTTAATAATAGTGATCATAAAATTTTGATTGTTAGTATGTACCTTGCAGAAACACTTAAATCTTTTTATTTTTAAGTATTAATTTTAAATAGATAGTACATTCACATGCTTCAGAATTTAAAGCATATAAAAAGGTATAAAGTTACCTTTTAAATACTATTTCTATTTCTCATATTATCACTATTGTCCAGTCACCCAGCAAACATTCCAGAAGCAACTGGTATAACTTTTTCTTATGGAGCAAATGCGTTTTTATTTATTCCTCTTTCCCCTGACTTATATGGTGGACACTATATCTACTATAATGTGCTTTTTGCTTATTTTTACTTGAATCATGAACTATCTTGGGATAGTTCTACATAGTTCAGTGTCAGTAAATACAAATACTCAATATTTTTCTAGAGTGAATGTACCATTTTATATTTCTGCTAGAAATACATGAAGGTTCCAATTTCTCCACATTCTCAATGCTTGTTTTTTTTTTGTTTTGTTTTTTAAATCATAATCATTCTAGAAAGTATAAAGTGGTATTTCATTGTAGTTTGATAGGCATATCCCTGATGATATTGAGCATCTTTTTATGTGCAAATTGACCATTTGTATATCTTTGTGGAGAAATACTTATTGAAATTTTTTGCACACTTTTTAATTGGGTTGTCTTTTTATTGTTGACTTGTAAGAGTTATTCATAATATATTCTAGTTACTAGGGTTATTGGATATATGATTTGCAACTATTTTTTAAATATATATTTTTATTTCAGAGAGGAAGGGAGAGGGAGATAGAAACATCAATGATGAGAGAATCATTGATCGGCTGCCTCCTACATGCCCCCTGCTGGGGATTGAGCTCACAACCAAGGTATGTGCCCTGACCAGAATTGAACCCTGACCTCCTGGTTCATATAGGTCTATGCTCAACAACTGAGCCACACTGGCTGAGCTAAAACAATATTTTTATACATTCCATTAATTTCCTTTTTCACTTCCTTGATATCTTTTAAAACAGAAGTTTTGATGAAGTTCAATTCATCCATTTTTTTCTTTAATTGCTTCTGCTTTAGGTGTCATATCTAAGAAACCATTGCCTAATACAAAGTCATTAAGATTTATGCCTGTTTTTTCTTCTACGAGTTTTATAGTTTTAGAACTTGCAATTAGATCTATGATACATTTTGAGAGTGTTAATATATGGTGTTTATTTTGGAGAAGGATGAGTAGTTCTTTTTTTCCTTCCTCCCAACTACATGGTTAAATGGGATTTTCTTAAAAGCTAAAATACAGATTATGTCATATATTATAGGTAATTTTATGATATATTCATATCACATAATGATACTCTCCATCAACATTTCAAATATATATATATATATATATATATATATATATATATATATATATATATATTTTTTTTTTTTAGGCTTTTATTTATTTTTTTCAGCTGCCTGT